TTGCTATTAACTTTGGGCCACTTCTGTCATTGCCAAAGCTCAGTGCCTACAGTGCCTCAGAGAGAAAGTCCATTCAGAGAGTAGTGAGGGCAGCTGAGAAGATTATAAGAAGTTCTCAGGATACTGCTTATAAGCACTATGAGCTTAGAGCTCAAAGCATTGTTAGAGATCCCACAGATGGTCTGTTTCTGTTGTTCCTCTCTGGGAGGAGGTTCCAGAGTATTTCTAGAAGGACTACCAGATTCTGTAACGGCTTGGTTCCCTATGCCATCCGTCTGGTAAACGCACAAGATTCATTTCTCTCACCATGTACACGTATACATCCGAACTAGACTGTGTTGTTTCTCCATGTCATATAATATATGTGGGTATATGCATAATTTTGTTTTTGTTTGTTCATTTATTTAGTCATGTTTATGTAATGGATATTAGAGGTAAAGACCCTAACAAAATTTCATTTTAACGTATGCTGATTCGTGTGCATTCAAAGTAATAATAAAGTTAGTCTAAGTCTAAGTCATCTGTTGGCCTTCCTATGCTTTCTCACATCTTGGCCTTCTGGAAGTCAACATGTATCCTAGCCTGATCAATTTTAAAGAATCCAGTACTTTAAAGAGTAAAGAGAACATGGGGCATTTCCGTTGTCCCCTGTCCTTGTTTCCTCAACTACAGAGAGGTATGTTACTTTTTTGACCCCTTGTATCTTGAGATTTTGGCACTATTTTTCAAAAAGTTCCCTTGGAAATCATGATAGAGTAGTCATTATAAAAAAGAAGCAGAAGACACTAACAGATGAAAGTATTCTTCCTTTTCTTTCTTTCCATGAGAGATATTCTCATTCTCTCTCTCTCTCTCTCTCCCTCCCTCCCTCCCTCCCTCCCTCCCCCCCCTCATTATCAGTTGGTTCTTTATAGCAGATTTCTGCTTTTGGGAAAGTACAAGTTTCAAATGCCGTTTCTGAAGTTGTCACAGTCGTTTGCCTAATCCATAAATGGAATTTATCTCTAATTATTACGTTTTAGCTTAAGGATATGCAGTTAATCAAAATCCACACAATTTAGCGAGAGCAAGATTAACCTTAACAATGAGCTTCAATAAGTTGGATTTTTAAGCTCGCTACCTATATCTGAGTTAGTTTTTTGAAGGCTAATGTTATGTCACTAATGAATTCTGAAGGCATGAGCAGAAATGGCAATTTCAGATGAATTATTCTTGAGACTGCGGGCAATTTTTGACAAATGCTTTAAAAATCAGACTTATCCTTGGCAGATGGTGTTTTTAAAAGGTACATGGGGAAGAGGCTTCTCTTTTCTAGAGAGTATGGCAAACTGCCAGAAGAAATCTGTGCTGAAAAAGGAATAGCAAAATGGCCAGGCAATTATTGATAAGAATGGGGTGAGGGGGAAGGTATTGAAGCTCACAGCTAGGTTTTCTCTCCCCCCCCCAATAGGGCTTCTCTACAGTGAATCTCACTCATTGCAATAGAAAAAACATCCTGTTTCATTTTCAATTTTTTAATCTATTTTTCATTTCCAAAGTTAAAATACAAAATAAAGACAAAAAAGGGGGGGGGAGGGAACAAACTGACAACCATCCGACACTAATAATAACAATTGAAAAACACATGTACAAAACTAGAAAAAAACAACGAATAACAAATATGCCATTCACTCTAACAGAAAACATAAAAAGTCTGTGTTCTCTTTCCCTTACATAACAGGTCTGCAAGTAGTTATAAACTTTCCCATCTATATTTGATTTAAAAAAAAGAAATTTGTTTATCTAGCAATCCAAATGACCCAGCCTCTATTTTTATACATGCACATGTGTACACACACACACACACACCATCAACAGGACAGGTAACTTGTACCCATTTTCAGATTCTTCAGTAAAGCTTTAAGAAAGAACCATACAGAGAAAATGTGTGTAAGTGGGAGAGGGAATTTGTAATCTTTTAGCCACCCCAGTTGCCATTTCACAGATCATCTTGTGGGTTGATAGAGAATTTAGTTTACTTTTTCAGAACTAGTAGGAATGTGCTTTAAACTGTTCGAAAGGCATGGAATAAAAATCTTCTTGAAGACAATCAACTTTTTTTTTTTTACAAAGTGCAGAGTTTTGAAAGAGGGTCTTTCGACACGGGTCCATCCTTATCTTAAACTGGGATGCTGTATAATCTAAGGGAAAAATGTAGTCTCTGTATTATAAATGTGTAATGTACACAATGTTAAAAGGCTATATATAGGTAATACAATACTTTCCTTTTCACTGGAGAAATTTCCACTATATTTCTGATCTTGAGAATGGAGAGAGGACTGGTATTTGAAAATAGCTTTGAAAGTAGATGGTAGCCAGTCTGTATAGGTCTTCCTATTGAAATTTGGATTTTAAAATACCGTAGTAGTTAAATGTTGTGCTACTTTAGCTCTAAAAAAAGAAAGCAAAGTTTCTAAAGAAGATCAATTCAACTAATTAATTAGATTTGATGGAGAGGAAAACAAACCTTTAATTTAGGTTTAATTTCTTTATTTCCTCCTAAATTCAGTGTTTGGGAGCACAAAAACTACATTTTTAAAATTATTCCAATATCAAACCAGGGAATAGTTCGTGCACATTTAACAACCATTTGAATTCACTCTGTTGTATTTGAACATCTCAAGATCAAAATGGCAAATTTCAACAGCAAACCTCCAAAAGTGACTTGAATTTTCAAAAAGGTTCACCCAAAATAAGAATGTGTTATTTTTTAGATTTTTAAGAAACTCCTTCCTGTCTAATCTAAATAAAAATACCTTCAAAATGTGGCTTTGCCCCTCTTTTGTGATATTATTGGCACCCTGAAAGCTAAACATTAAAAAACAAATGGTGAGAAAGCGTGCCCCCTCTCTTGCCAGTATAATTTGTCAATTGAAATGTCACATCAATCATTATTGAATTCGCTAACATTGTACTATTTTGTGGGTATGTGTGTGTATAAATATATATACAGAGAATATGTAATAAGAATATTCTGTAACATTTGATATTGCATTTGTATGTGAAGTAGAGATTCCCTGTTTAATATCCTGGTGTCAGAGCAGTAAAGACAGTTATTCCTGTTGTTAATTTACTGTTACAGCTGCTTCCTTGTTATGCAATTTAATTTTCAATCCAGCAGGGGGCTAATGATCCTCACCTATGTAGATTTTGAACAAGGCTGTTACTTTCCATGTCAATATTGTTTGTATTCCTATTCTGGGTGATTCTTTTTTACACTAATTTGGCATTCACAAGGCAGCATACCATAACTCTCTTCATAGGTCAAAATGAGGAATGATTTGTTGGAAAAATTATAAATCTGAAGCTTTCTTTTGAAGCGCACAGTGTTTCCATGAATATTTCTAAAGGGAAAACAGTGGATAATGTCTACTTACATGATTTCCTAAATATTTTTGTATCCTGTTTTTTTAACTGTTCTGCCATCCTGCATAATGTATCTGGCAATATTATTGATTCAGATGGAGATAAGCACATTGTTTTCATCATGGCCAGACTCAAAAGATCTTCTGTGGAGTTATAAAGCCAGGAACAATAGGCTTCTAAAAAAAAAAAAAAAAGTTCTGCTTCGTGTTTCAGCAGATTATTCCTGCTTTGCTTTGAACCATAATTTGCTGCTACATCGAATGTCAGCTTGTTTAGTGTTGGTCAGATATTTAGAATGACAAGGCAGGGTTTCATTCCATTCAGATGCAACCCAGGAATGAATAATAAAACGATGATAATTCTTCAGAGACCATACAGTTCAGTGCCTGACATTTCCACACATTCTTTCCAATGCTGCTGGTTGGAAAAGAAGGAAATCTCTTCCATCTTCCCCATGGCTGCCATTCACATAGAAGGCTGTTTTTTCATCTTTCCTTCATCTTCTCCAAAATAAACATGGCCTGCAGTTCCTCCTAATGCAGGATTTCCAGAGCTCACTCCAATATATCAGTACCTTCCCTAAAATGTCTGGACACAGGTCTCTTGTACAGTATAATGAAATAGAATTAGATGCTCCTGTCATTTTCAAATTGAAAACTCTTAATATTGATTTTTATGTTATAGAGTCACAATTAAAGCAAGCTTGGAACTGAAATATTAGGCACTTCTTCAAGCTTGAAGTCTAGTCTGGTTTTGGTGGGAAGGATCTAACTACAAATATTTCTTTTTTGTTTGTTTGTTTTTTTGCCTCATTTTTACAACATTGCATTCTAGAAGCAGCAGACAGAAATGACAAAATGTCTCAAAGTGATAACTTATTGGAAGAAATGTTTATTACCTGGCATGTGTAAGACTTGTATTCATTTTATGGTGCAGCCAAAATATTTGACCTTCTTGCAGCTTCATTGAAAATATAAGTGTCAGTTGCTTGGGTGTGGGGAGAGGAACTTTTCTCAAAATGACTCTGTCTGTAGGTGACATTGAATGTCTTCGTAATTAACAAATTTTAATGGCCTTGTAAATATTACATAAAGGTTCCCTGTTGTAGCTGTAAATGATAATTGGATTAGTCAGCAAGTGGCTTGTTTAATCTCCAAGTACTTGGGACTTTTATAGGCTGTAACTAAACTATTAGTCAGCTCACTTTTAGCAGTTTGATCAGTGCAAAATACTACGTGCTTAAGCAGTACTGCTCAAAATGCTTAATAAGCCAGCAACTCCCTGAGATGGGAAAGAAGCTTTGTAGTCATGTTTAAGTTGCGTCTTACATTGGTCACTGGCTGTGAATGTTAATCACTTTCAAGCAATAATTCACAGCGTTGTTGTAGTACTGTGGTGCTCATAAAATGAACTCAGTAACCCACCACTGCCCAGGGGATATGTCTCTTTCATTGCAATTGAATACCCAGCCTGGCTGCATAATAGTTAGGATTATGAAATAGTGCATTTTTAAAAAGGGTGAGCAGCTGGATAATAAAATAACAAGCTCCAAAGCAGGTTTGTTAATTATCTCTCTGTCTGTCTCTTGTTGACAGAAGGAGTATGCGAGATATGGCTGACCAGTGAAGATACCGGGGCTTATGGCAGAGACATTGGCACAGACCTCCCGACTCTCTTGTGGAAGCTAGTGGAAGTGATCCCTGAGGGAGCAATGCTAAGGCTCGGCATGACAAACCCTCCGTATATTTTAGAGCATCTGGAGGTAGGTTCACAGGGAAAGCCATTGCAGTTACTAACCGCCTTCCTTTGACATCGTGCAGGAACTGACAGCTTGTGAGCTTCTCTTTTGCAACTGCACTCATAACACGAAATGCAAGGTAAGATGGGATCAGAAATTGCATAAAGCAATGAAGAAACAAAACCCCAAATGTTAAATGGGGCCCATTCTGGATGGAGCGATTCATAAACAAATTTGTCAAGGAATATGAAAAGTGTAGGCCACAGGGGAAATAAATAATGCACATTTTTTTCTCATCTTCCCCTGAGCTGATGCCCTGCATCTGCGTGTTTGGATTACAAAACGCTATAAATACCATTCAGCAAAGCTGAAGGCAGATTTTGCAAATTGTAGCCCATATAATACCATGCTGAAGGAAAGGCTGCTATTTAACACTTTCTTTTCCTTTTGTACCTACAAGATTGTGTAATATTCTAGAGTGTCAAACTCACATCATCACAGCAGTGTCACATGACATATTGGGATTCCCCCCACCCTTGCTAAACCAGGCATGGGTGTGGCCAATTTGTGACACATCCGGCCCACAGGCTGGGAGTTTGGCAGTCCTGTTCTAGAAGCTTCTCCAACTGAAGTGTTGGCACTTCTGAAATTTAGTACCCAAAACCCATGTTATTTTTAGATGAATCATCACAGGTTAATAGGTAACAACATACTTCAGAAGATTTTGCATAGTTTATTTATGCTGTTTTGAACTTCTTTCAGTACATTTTACCACAAAACGCATACCAGAATTAGTTAGCGGGTTTATGTAAATCTGTACCAGACAACAGCAGCAGAAATACTGATTTTTTTTTGTTCTTGACTTTTTCTTTAGCATTTTTTTAGATGCAGAATGGCTTTATTTGCATATTTATAAATATACATAGTATATTTATATGCTGCACAAAGACCAAGTATAAGAAAAAGAGGAAAACATAACACGTCAGTTCAATTTTTAAGTAATGCAAGCTTTCCAAAGAAGAGTTATACATAATATATAGTCAGTAACCTGCTTCCTTGTCTTATTTATCTTGAGCGTGGCAGTGCATTTTAGAAGATTGGCTGTAAAGATGGCTGGCCTGCTGTTTCTCACAGAGCTACCTTAAACCTCACTTTAATAATAAGTTCATTTTTTTAACCGCTTCTCATTAAATAAATATATTATACTATATTGAATAAATATAGTATTAATGTTATATATAAATGCATGTTAATGGTGTGGTTTGATTACTCCAAAGATATGCAGTCTGCAACTTCTATGATACATCTCTCCCTAAACCAGGGGTGTCAAACTTGGTGGCCCACGGGCCAGATACATCACATGCAGGCCACGTCTACCTCAGCTCTGTGAAGGGAAAAGCGTCGCAATACGTCACATGATGGCAACATGACGCCACAAGTTTGACACCCATATCCTAAACCTTTCTTTCTGCAATTCTTCGAAGCCTCTGATAGGCTTATTTCTTTAAAAGTAATTCCCCCTTTAAAAATAATAGGAAAAATCAAAATTCCAGCTCACCCCATTTGTAAAACTTGCCTCCTACAGTTCTGATGGACCAAACAGTAGCGCCCCTCTGGCATAAATAGTTGCTCATTGGCAACTACAGTGTAGTTTGCGCAGCAGGAAGTGTCAGCCCTACCAAGTAAACCAGACCAAAATCAGGATTAGATTAACTTTATTGTAAAGCTATATTAACAAAATCTTGGAAGTCTGAAGGTGCAAACTTTCTGCCATTATTCATTAGCGCAGGCCCTTTCCAAATTTTATTGTTTGACTGTTAAGCCACTGGGAACATTTCTTGGCTAATAGTTTCCTAGACAGCATCTCTTGCCATCTTTCCCCAAGGTCATTCACACATTCCTTTACAGGAAGCCCCCAAAGCACCCTTGCCTGTCAAAGATATGAATCTGTAAATACTTCAGAGCATTTCTGAAAATTCATCCATAATTATTCAATTATTGTTTGTCTGTCACTTGGCCTGCGTATTTTTTCTGTTCTCATCCCAAAGAAAAATGAAGAAAGACTAAATCTCATTCTTACTCAATTTTACCTCAGTGGTATTGTATACACGTCACCAAATAAAGCTTCAGTCTCCTTGACTCTGGATCATAAAGCAATCTCGTTGTAGATATTAGTCCATTTCTGCATTAAAAGGGGCTCACATTCACACAATTTTGGTCAATAGTTTTTTTTTAAGAGCATTCATTGTTCACTGGGAGAGAAAAACCAAGCAAACCTCATTTTCCAAGATACAAATAGCTCTTTCTGAAAAGAATATTAACAGACATATCTGTGATGGTGTGGCAATTACCTGAAAACAATACACTCCAAGGAAAAACAGAGGTCAGATATTGCCTTAAGATAATCTTTGTTCAATAAGCTGCAATTGGCCAAGGATATGCAACATATTAAGCCATAGAATATGGACAGGCAAGCTTTTATGTGTAACAGGAACCACTCTTCTTTAAAAAGCAAAACAAAACAGTTGTTGTTCTAGGTAGCACACAAGCACAGCACTGATACATCCAAAAAAATGTATTTGGTCTTCTAAACATATTGCTTCAGATTTTACCAAGCTAATATTCAATTAGCCCAGCAGACTGTCAGGTAGCTAGAAAATTCCTTAAGAATATAGACTGTTTTGTAGTCTGGTACCTTACTAACAAAGGGAAAGCACACGGGGGCACTCATATATTACCCATTGGCCATTTTTGAAACTGAACGTTCTTTCTCTGGATCGTATAACAGCTGACAGCCATATCTGGGGAAAACACACGGCTGCTTTAAAGAGCTAGTGACAAGCTTTGCTCCATCTCAACTGTCTGATGACTGAAAATCTTTCAAAGGGACCTAAGGGTAAAAGTAAAGCTGAGTACAGATTGGAGGAGTTTGTGGAAAGCTTAAATCTACAGTTCATGTATAATGCATTATTTCGTCGTTTTATTTATCTTTTCAGGATACTTTAGCTTTATGAACTTAAGGAGAGAAGGCTTCCTTTTCTTTCAGAACATCAATAAGAGGCACTTGACATTTCAGGAGCAGGAGATGAATTCAGACCTTCTTGAAGGCTTTCTGTCATCTAGTCTTGTCAAAGATGCACACTTTTTAGATTTGAATAAATTTAAGTCCTATTAAGTTTCAGCAAAAGGGCTTTCATTCTTTTCTTTTTATCATTTTTAAATATTATAACTGCTTTGTTCTTCTCAGGGTCAGAACATAAGGACATTTACTTATCTACTAACATGTGCTTGTTAAAGTATATTTTGGGAAGGTGCTTAACATTAAACCAAATCTTGTTTTTTTTTAACATTTTGTTAAATGAAACAATATCAGGATTTGCATAACACATTTAGCCAAAACATTTTTTTTTAAAAATCCCACTCTGTTAACAAAATGTGTGAACCCAGCTTGTGGTTGAGAGCTAGTGGGGATTCTTCTCTAATAACCCAAAGGTTTTCTGGAATGTTTTAAAAAATTCTGTTCTTAAAGCAACTTTTGATTTTGATCCTAAAAACTGCTAATAAAAAAAAGTACAAGACTCTAATAATAGGCAGAGTTGCCTTGAAGCCATTGTGAATAATCAAAAGTGCATTTGCACAATAAACATTTTTAAAAGGCATTAATTAATCATCATCAATATCTTGAAGTCTGAAAAATGCTATTGGTAAATTTGACTCTGCTGACTATATTGCTTTTCTTTTAGAAATCACTTAATTTCTACCATAGACATTTTCAGTTCTTTGTTGGGTTTTTTTTTTTTTGCTATGTTTGCACCTTGTTTCTGAGTGTGGAGATGATATACAAAAGTCTGTATTTTAAAGGAGTTGTTCACACCTGCCAGTGCCTTTTTAAAAGCTTAATTGCACATGATGAGATGCATAGGCCTTCATGTCACCTGTCAAGATGAGTCATGCTCAAAGTCTGCCATATGCCATCTGTGGATAGTTTTTTCTTTTTAATCTTCCTTATTAATTCAGATTATTCCAATGAAACCCTGACCATTGAGAGTTTTGTATGCTGTGTATTTTTTTTCCCTTTGAAGAATGTGAAATGCCTTAGCTCTCCCTTTCTTTGATTCCTATCAGCTGAACATTTGTGATCTGTAACTTCATTTGAGCACATAACTTTACAGATGGCTTCTCTAGACATGCCCTGACACAGAGCCTAAAAATGGATTGTAGAACAACAGCTAATCTTTTCCTTCTTATTATTAGTTCTTATATAAAAACACAATTACTTAGTAGTTTAGTGGCAAAGTTGTTTGAACACTATGCATTCTTTGTAATGCCCTTTTCATTTTCCATACCAGTTTTTAAATGCTTTGGTCCAGTTTACACAAAACTAATTTTAAAACTTTATGATACTTTATATTATAAACCATAACAAGTTTGCATTTCACACTGTTCCAAAACACATTTATCTTAGGGCTAAATGTTATGTGGGAATCAGTATTTCAGAGATTCCACTCATTCTTTAGTTAAGAATAATTAAATAAAGCCAGTGATAAAAATTCCATTGCCTGATATTCATATGGTATCCATTCATTTTAGTAGGCCATTAATATAAGCCTATTTTTGTGAAGTGAATTTGGAAGAACTTCCTATTCTTTTCCTTGATCACAATGGGGAAGTGATAGTCAAATGGTTTATTATGGTTCAGAACCAGATTTGTATCATGAGAATTTTGTTCTTTTTCACGGAGCCATTGGCATCCTTTCATGAGTTGTTGGAAACTTCCACAAAACTGTGTATGTCACATGATGCAGCAATTAACTGGAACTCCTGGCAATTTGGAAAACACTCTAATATAAAAGGTTTTCATTTACAAATTCCTGTGACAGTAAATAAGCAACCAAGGGCTATATCTTTTTATGTTCGGTGCATCCTACATTCCACATTTATGCTGGCAATCAATATGTACAAAAACTGAGGTTTCTGACTCAATGGGAAAGTTCTGTTCTGGAGGTGGCTCTTAGATTGACAACAGACTCCTCCCCTTCCCATCTCCCAGTGTTTGCTCCATACTCGCCCATCTATTTTTAACTAGTCATGTTGATGTATTTTCTTTGTTTATTTTATTATTCGATTATTTTATTTTATTGTTCTATCGTTTTACTTTCTGCCAGATTATCATTATTCTCATGAGCAATTTTTACTGCAAATTAGACTGCTGGGAGCATCTGGTGCCAACTTACTTGACTGTCTTACTCAAAAATGTGTTCATCACATTTTTTAAAAAATGCTGGAGATGTGTAAAACTAACAGTGTATTTATAAGTATGTAAAAATATTATTGATGTTATTTTCATGTGTCTAGGAAATGGCAAAAATTCTCAACCACCCAAGAGTCTATGCTTTTCTTCATGTACCAGTTCAATCCGCCTCTGATAGCGTATTGATGGACATGAAGAGAGAATATTGTGTGGCTGATTTCAAACACGTGGTGGATTTTCTTAAAACTAGGTAAGTCTAATGTTTTAAAAAGTTAAATAATTGGATAATATGGATTTTTAAAAGATAATTGTTTTTTTGCATCTTCATAATTTGGCTATGCCTTACAATTGCTTTGATGTAATATTCGGTTTTAAGTTGTTTATATTCTGGAATATATGATTTGATGGGGGGAGTTTCACTAAATGGTTTAATGCAGATTAATTGATACAGAATGCAAAACACACAAAAAAAGTCCTGCTCCAATAATGTATTTGGATATTGTTATTGAAAGTATCTTTTTATTCCTAGTTGTGGATTTTGTACTAATCCTAGCAATTTTTATTAGCAAATTATGACAATAACTATATTTCAAAATCTTTTTTTCACAATAGTATATATTATTTTGTCACCATTTAAATGAACTTCGTAGTAAATTCCATTGGCAACGTTCATGGAGAATTCCTTAAGTAAGAAGTACTAGGAGTTAGGAAAACTTAGACTGTAATCAATTTGAGTACGAAGTATTCTGAATAAATTTTTTCCCGAAAATAATACTGTGTGATTTTGTGAAGATTGTCTGGCATGTGGTTGTTTCCATTGCATATAAATACATGCAGGTATATTAATGTATTTTACTAGTTGAAGGTTAATTCCATGTTATCTACATAAAATCAGTATTTGTGGTGACTCCCCAAAACTTAGATGGTTTGGAAATGCTGAAATATTTATGAAATATAAAGCTATCTATTGTTGCTAAATGTTTATTAGTTGTATATATCTCTAGAATCAAAGGCAACTGTCCATGTTTTAAGAGAGAGAAACAGTATTGTTTTTGTTATCAGGTTTCTCAGACCAGAATAGGAGAGTGATCACTTGATATGTCACTGCTTTGCCTGATTATCCAGCTTAACCTGGGGGAAGGCTTACAGATACAATTCTGCACAGTTGGCTTTATCGTATATCAGAATTTAGCCATATACAACTATTAATTGTCTCCTGTACTGAAGAGATGTCGTGGACTTTTAGCTATTCCAACGTATTTAAATTCAAGGCTTCTCCTCCCATTCTTTCTGAATTAAGAGATACTTTTCACGTGGTGGCCTTGAAGTTGGATGGTTATGTTTTACAAATCCAATGGAAGAAAATATCTGTAGTTCACGGTTGAACTGAAGAGTTCTTTCATGTTGCTTGCATGTGTTTGGTTTCCCCAAATAAGTAAAATCAGTGTGAGTGAGTGTGCAGTTTACTATATATTGCAGCTTTCCCTGAGAATTTTGCCTTGCCAAATCCATGTTTCTATTGAAAAACTGGCAGAAAAAAAAAAATCTCAATCATTGCCATAATGTAAACTGAGATATATTAGTTGTACGTTTAACACTGGTTTCTTGTTGGAATTATTGTACGAAGGCTCTCAATGTTGTAATAAGCCTTGCTAAAGTGTACCCTAAAATCCATATTATTAGTTCAATTTTGGCTTCCCAGAAGAGCAATAGGCAATAGGTGAGACCATTTCAATTTACCTAAGCTCTAGTAGTATGCCAGAATGGTAGTGACAGAGAACCGGTATCACCTAAAAGGCTCCCAATGTGCCTAATCCAGCCTCAAAAGGATGTTGCAAGAAGGAAACGGACTAGTTTGGGACTGAAATTGAGATGGCCTCTTTGGATATGTGGCCCGGGGAAGGAGCAACTTAATCTCAAGAAGAGAAGACCATGGGAGGACTTGGCTGGTGAGAGCATTAGAAGGAGAATTGTGCAGAGAATACAAGCAATGTCTTTGTCTAGTGCCAGCAGAGCAGTATGGGAAGCGGAGGCTGCTTTAAGAGCACATTCTTATTCCTGTTGCCTAGGCAAGGACAAGGTTCAACCCTTTCACAGGAAATGCCCTCTTGGCCAAACTTGTTGAGGTTTGCTGAAAGATGTCACTGTCAGTTTCCCATCCTTGCCTGCCTTTCCTAAAGTGGCCTTTTTCTCACAGTCCGAAGAATGGCTGCAGACTGCATGGATTTTCTGAGTAGCTCTGGCTTGACTATTTTGCTGTTTTCTGTCCTTCCAGTTAAAAGAGCTGCATGTAATAGGCTGAGCAAGAAAGGATGGACAAGATGACCCAGGAATGACTGGGGAGGCAGGTGGCAGAGAGAGAAAGGTCTTATAGAATAAGCTAGTAAATTTTGTGAGTAGTTTGGATTGCTGCCAATATGCCAACAGGTAGCCTCTCTGAGAAGAACGAGTATAACCCTTGAAAACCTCTTGCATAATGCCTATCTTGGTGTTTTTTGGAGCAGGGGTCTCCAACCTTGGCAACTTTAAGACTTGTGGACTTCAACTCCCAGAATTCCTCAGCCAGCTTTGCCTTTTTTTAAAAAAATGTCTTTACAATGATTGAGAGAGACAATAGTTCATTGAACAGAATAGAATAGAATTCTTTTATGGGCCAAGTGTGATTGGACACACAAGGAATTTGTCTTGGTGCAAATACTCTCAGTGTACATAAAAGAAAAGATACATTCATCAAGAATCATAAGGTACAACATTTAATGATAGTCATAGGGTACAATAAGCAATCAAATCATACTAGGAAACAGTCAATATAAATCGTAAGGATACAAGCGACAAAGTTACAGTCATACAGTCACAAGTGGGAGGGGATGGGTGATAAGGAGTGATGAGAAGATTAATAGTAATAGTAGTGCAGACTTTGTAAATAGTTGGACAGTGTTGAGGGAATTATTTGTTTAGCAGAGTGATGGCATTTGGGGGGGAAATTGTTCTTGTGTCTAGTTGTTCTGGTGTGCAGTGCTCTATGGCGTCATTTTGAGGGTAGAAGTAAGTTTGTGTCTGGGATGTGAGGGGTCTGTAAATATTTTCACAGCCCTCTTTTTGACTCATGCAGTATTCAGGTCCTCGATGGAAGGCAGGTTGGTAGTAATTGTTTTTTTCTGCAGTCCTAATTACTTTCTGAAGTCTGTGTCTGTCTTGTTGGGTTGCAGAGTCAAACCCGACAGTTATAGAGGTGCAGATGACAGACTCAATAATTCCTCTGTAGACCTGTATCAGTAGCTCCTTGGGCAGTTTGAGCTTTCTGAGCTGGCGCAGAAAGAACAATATTTGTTGTGCTTTTTTGATGACGTTTTTGATGTTATGTGTCCATTTTAAGTCTTGTTTAGGTCTTGTTTAGGTCATTGATGCAATAACTTAAGATAGTATGCTAAATACTCTTATTTATTAATGTCTCAGAATCATTTTATCTAATTGAAAACTGCACATTCTAAATGTCATAACTTAAATGTTACAAACTTTGAAAGTTAACTTTTGTTACAACAGATTTGCTATCAGAAAATTTGGAAATGCTGAGCATACTCATAGATTGTATTATAAATATATAAATAAATACAGCCAGTTCTTAATAGTATAAAACTATAGAAATGAACTATGCATCCAGGTTTGTCATGCATATATCAACTTAAATTTTTTCTGTGTTTTATTCTGATAGTTTTCAAGCTTGATTAATCAGTTTTATTTAAACAAGATGTTTTATTTAAAAATCAGCATGAGACATTATTTCCAACATACAGTACAGAAACAGAACAAGCTCAGTCTGTAAGAGTGAAAAATATTGGATATTGGAATCTACTGACATCTGTAAAGCTCATTTATTTTTATTTCTGTATTAGTAGGTCTTTTTTCTTATGTGTCATCTGCTAAAAGCAGCCAAATATGACGTTCCTATATAACTATTCCCCAGTAGACATCTCATCACAGACATTATGAAAGCAAAACATTGCAGTGGATTCCTGCAGTTTCTCCCAGAAATAAATTATCTATGAATCTGTTCTTATGGAAACATCTCTTGTTTCCCTTCCAAGCTGCAATGATGGAAGCAGGAGAGTAGCTATCATTTAAGAACCCAGAGGGCCACTATCATTCAAGACAATATCATACGCTTCTAAATTCTGTGCTTTCAACTGAAACAATTTGCACGAAACAGTTGTGAATAAAAATGCCTTTAGGTGAGTCTAATGATTAAATAGCATTTGTCTACTACTGTTAAACTGATTCAATCCATAACAACTGGAAATGTATTGAAACTGCAAAAAAAAAAAGAAGAAACAACGTAAGACAGGTCTCTTTTCTGAGATGTTCCATTATCTCAATTGTACTGGCACCTACAAGTGATACCTGAGAGATCCATTGTTCATCTGAATGCTTGGATTCTCTATATATTTTGCTTTGGTATTTTATGAATGAGTATTTGAGCTTAGTTTAATGAAACACTTTATTTATAAAAGAAATGTCTTGCTAGGGTTCTATGAAATTAAACGTTGTTTATAGTCTCTTTTAATTTAACAGAATAACATAGTTGAAAGAGACCTGTCCAAACCCCTACTCAAGCAGGACACCTTATACCATTTCAGACAAATGGCTGCCCAGTCTCTTCTTAAAAACCTCCAGTGATGGAGCACCCACAACTTCTGAAGGAAGCTGTTCCACTGGTTTATTGTTCTCACTGCCGGGCAATTTCTCATAAGTTCTAGGTTGCTTCTCCCTTTGATGAGTTTCCATCCATTGCTTTTTGTCTTGCCTTCCGGTGCTTTGGAAAATGCATCGAGTCCCTCTTCTTTCTGGCAGCCTCTCAAATATTGGAACACTGCTATCAATGTCGCCCTCAGTCCTCCTTTTCACTAGAGTAGACATGCCCAATTCCTGCAACTTCCATATCTAAAAGCAAAGTTGAGGAACCTCCAGCTTATGGGCTAAATCAAATCCATTAAGTTGCTTCAGATAGCCGCTGATACCTAGGAGATTTTATGCTTTGCCAGTTGCTCCTTCCTTCTTTCGGCCTCTTCCTTAAAATGTAAAGTACAAGGGAGGTAGGCCTGAATTAAGGAGCAGTAGTTCTCAAGAGCTACCACTTGAACTTACTGTCAATTAAGGATGTTCCTGCTAGCTCATATGGGAGGTGGGGGGGGGGGGTTCTTTGAGGTAAAATGCCTTCTTTGGCATTGTTAATCCCATTCTATCATCTGTCTC